TCATGTCTCTTTTTTTCTCCTATAGCATTTAGATAGTTCATAAACTAAAAGTTAAAATGTTTTGACTTTTTCAAACGTTTTAAAGACGACTGCAAGACGTCTTCAAAACACGTCTTACAGTGTTTCATTTTGGACCAGTTTAAAACCTTTTAAAGACGTCTTAAGTTAGACGACTTTAAGATGTCTTGCATGCGACAACTTAAAGACGTTTTATGTAAGACGACTTTAAGACATCTTCAAACAGACGTCTTACAGTGTTTCATTTTAGACAAGTTTAAGACATCTTTAAGACGTTTATCAAGACGACTTTAACACGTCTTTAAGACGACTTAATGTCGGGTGGGAGTATTTTTTAATTACGCAAAAATACATTATTATTAAAAATGTTTTTAATAATAAAAGTATAATATTGTTTATAATTTAATGGTATATTATTATTCGGTAGTTATTCAAGACTTTCTTTACATTTTTTTTGTAAATAAAGTTGCTTTTTGTGCCCCGGCAATGGGCACAAAAAGCAACTTTAATTTTTGTTCTTAGTACAGTAAAGAGTATTTAAACACACACTTCTTTTTACCGGCCAAAACTTGCAATTGTTGTAAAAATAGATATGTACCTTTTTTATTCATTAACAGTGTTAAGTCATTTGTTATAACTATTATTTAGTTTAAACCACATAACTATTAATTGTAAACCACATTTCTTTAGGGTTTTGAAAAGATGCAAAAGTTGGTTTTGCAACTTAACAAGGGATAGTATTCGTTTTAAGGAATTTTGTAATGAACCCTGTATATGCATTGCACAAATCTTGCCTGTCTTTCTATCATCATGTCCCTCCAAGTAGTTCTCTTACTACTGTTTTAAGTAGTTTAGATAATTCACCACTTGAGCACATAAGTAATTTATCACCACTAAATCACAAGCCTTTATTTTCCAAACATTCTGTTAACAATGAATAGGCATGAATCAAGAGGAGAAATAAGCCCTAGAAAAAAAAGGTTTGAATACCAGATTGTCCTATTTAACTTCTCAGCTTGCTGTTACATCCAGCGAGTATTGAAAAAAATTAGTAATAGTGACGGCAAAATTAAAAAGCATGGCGATACACGAGGTATCATTCCAAGGTATCCAGGAAATTGTCTTCATATTTTTTTTCATACTTGTTTTATTTTTATTAAAAATTAAAAGAGTTTGAGCATTTTTTAACCATTTAACATTAATATGCAGAACTATACAAAAAGTTCTTAGAGCTGTATTTTGTAACAAAACAGCTCTAAAGAAAAAGTGTGTTCTTGCATTATTTGGAAAACCACCTCCTCAAAGTCACATAAAACTTTGTCATCCAGTTTCCAGCCTGGATGGCAAAGTTTTGTGTGACTGTTGAGGAGGCAAATTTTGACCATTATAGTGGAATCCTGGTATTAAAAATATTTTACTAAAAATTGCAGATTCTAAATCAAATCCAGGTTCACTTTTAAAAATGACCTTGAACCAAATATTTTAGATCCAATAAAAAATGTTTTGTTTGATTGATGAACACTTTATCAATATGACTTTTGCTTGTCTTATTGCAGTGGGAGACGTCATAACTCATCAATGTAAGAGATATTTCTCACTTTCTATTAACCAGACTCTCAAGGAGGAAGTAGCATGTGCAAGGCTTCACGATATAAATAGTGAGGAGTTAATGGGAATGTTTAGTGAGGCTGAAGAAAGATCACCTAATGCAACAGTTTGTTATGTTTCATACAAATTAAATTACCTAGATAGTTTAGATCAATTATCTAGAGAAAATATTGTTATGTGGTGGATTCAGAAACCCATAAAAATGTAGTTATGTGGTTGATTCAGAAACCCATAAAAATATAGTTATGTGGTCTATTCAGAAACCCATAAAAATATAGTTATGTAGCCTATTCAGAAACCCATAAAAATATAGTTATGTGGTCTATTCAGAAACCCATAAAAAGAGATGATAAATCAAATGAAGCATAATGATATATGAGTAGATATTTCAAAAAAATATGTATGTAAATGCCAAAAAATGGATGAAAAAACAAAAGAAAGTTAAAATGACAGTTGCTTGAACTCTTTTACAATGAAATAAAGTGTTTAAATACATTGTAAATACAACTTCATGACTAAGATGATGTAATGTCAGATAGAATTGTTGGGCAAAAACTTTGCCATGAATGGCACAATAGTAAGTATTCAAAGTATGACATGTATGATGGTAGAGAAGAAAAACTTGATAAAACAAAACAAGACAAAGTTTACACAATTTCTTACTGGAATAAAGGTAATACTGATACTGAAGCTGTTGACTACAACATGAAAAAATTTCAGCTTCCGCTGATGTTGGACTAGGAGAGTTGATTGTTTTTTGAAGTGTAATATCCCACCCAACATAAGACGTCTTTAAGACGTCTTTAACTCATCTTAAACTTGTCTAGACGTCTTCAGCCAGTATAAGGCGGCTTTAAGACGTCTTTAACAGACGTCTTGGAGACGTCTTCCAACAAGACGTCTTTAAAACGGCTATAATAGGAACAACTGGTTTAAGACGTCCTAAAGACATCTTAGCAAGACGTCTTCCTGAACATCCAGTTTAAGACGTTTTGAATTAATTCAAGAACTTTATTTTAAAAAACTTTATTAAAACTTTATTTTTTTTACAAAATAAAAAGTGCGAAAAGAAACTGGTAACTATATAGTTACCATTCTTTTCTTTTCTTTTCGATCATTAAAACTTATCTTCCGCATTTAATATTCGTCTTCCGCATATACTCGGTTTGAGACAGAATTCTGAGTATGCGGAAGACGAATATTAAATGCGGAAGATAAGTTTTAATGATCGAAAAGAAAAGAAAAGAATGGTAACTATATAGTTACCAGTTTCTTTTCGCACATATTATTTTATAAAAAAAATAAATAATATAAGTTTTAATAAAGTTTTTCACGTTAGTAAATTCAGTTAGTAAATAAGTGTAGTAATTCGTTTAGCACGTTAAAGTATTAATTTGTTCAATACGTTAAAGTAGTAATTCGTTTTAACTCATTCAAAGTAATTGTTTAGAATATGTCTGCATCAAGAAAAGATTATTTAAAGAACTGGAGAAAATTAAATAAATCAGTTTTAGAAGAAACTCGAGAAACTGTGGATGTGTGTAACGTCAACTGTGCACCACCTCAAGAAGAAGAAGTTAGAGCTTATTTTCATTCTAGCAGTCAAAGTTGTAGTAATTTACGTGTGGAAGAAAATATGGAAGTACGGTCGAGCGATTCACCTGAATATTTATCCGACAGTTCTAGTGACAGAAATTCTTTTAATTCAACCACCAGTAGAGAAAACCTCTCAGGAGACCTTGCATCTTGGTGTCTAGAGTTTAATTGTTCTCAAGCAGCTATGAATAGTTTACTCGATATACTTCGAAAACATGGTAACATGCTACCCAAGTCAAACAAGTAAGTCAAACATACACACGTTGCTTCTGTGTGTGTGTGTGTGTGTGTGTGTGTGTGTGTGTGTTTGTGTGTGTGTGTGTGTGTTACACACATTAAACATCATAAGATAAAAACATTAACAGATGTTCATTGGGCGCAAGTTGCCACTTTGTAAATTAAAATTTAAAAACTTAATCAGAAAACACATGGAAAATCCATAATTTATAAAATATGCAAAATATATCAACTGTACAACATGTTACGTTACGTCAATCACGTTTAGTATCTCTGGTCAAATTGTCTCTGGTTATGTTTATAAAACTGACTATTTATGCACAACAAGAACCGAAGTGGACTACTTAATGTATATACAATAAAAATAAAAATCAAAGTCAGGACGGTTTGATTCTACTTACTTTTTTAACTGGTTTGTTATCGGTTGTTGTTTTTTTCAAGTTGTAGGAACATTCCTATTAATAATAATCGAAGCAATCTTTACAGTGAAAAGGTACTTGAATTTACAAAATAAAATAGTATCTTGTTGAGAAGAAAACATTATCTGGTAACTCTACCCATTTATTGAAATTTCTTGATGTTGCATTTTATGGATCTCTTAAAAAGTATTTTAGGAAAATGCTTGATCAAATAAAAACCTCTTGTTTACAAAAGCAAAGGCAATTACAAAAAATAAATCTCCTTTGTTCTTATTTTACTTATAATCATTACATTTGTCAAATCAAAAGGTAATTAGCAACTTAGTAGCTGAGTGGTTTTGAAAGAATTATGGGATTTACCCATTAGATATAAGTATCATCTTTAACCATTTGCCAGGTAGTAGTTATAACTTTAGAACGCCGAGCAGTAATTAATGTACTTTAACAATTTTTTCATGTTGATGTCAAGGAAAAAGCAAGCTCAAAGGAAAAAAAAATTACTTTTGACCTTGTTAAAAATTTATATATATATATATATATATATATATATATATATATATATATATATATATATATATATATATATATATATATATATATATATATATATATATATATATATATATATATATATAAAATCGATTTTTTGGCGAGAGTAAAAAAATAACTACATAATTTTTACTACTAAAATTTTCTTGCGTTTACCAATCATCAGGTAAAAATACATTGTTTTTTATGTTAAAAAACATACTAGATAATAACATCATGACGTTCAAAAACAATTATAAAATGTTACTATTTGCAAGCGTGGTTTGGTTTTTTAATCTTTAGACTCGTGGTTGTCAGGCAAGAACTTCTTTTCATGACAGCACTTATTATTTCTGTTTTTTTTTATTATTATTACTTAGATATTATTTCTGTTATTTAATAATTCTTGCGTCCCTTTGTTTGATATTATGCAAAGTTTTTCAAAAAGGCAAAGCAAGCATTTTTTTGTTACGTTGCTGTAGGCGGGGATTAGTTTAATTATTGACTTGGTTGATTTGGGTGTTATTTTTAAGTTTTCTTTTATCTGCCATATATACTTTGAAAGGGTGGTTGAATTTTTCATCTTTTTGTTTG